ATAGTTGTCAAAGTGACTTTATTGGGTTTTTGAATTTGTCCCTGAAATATATTGGTTTTACAAATCAGTTATAATAAATACTGGGATAGGGAGTACCACAAACCAGTGAAAAAAAAAGCTACCATGTGTACTGGACAACTAAAAAATATTAAAAACATCAATGAAAATTCATGAAAAAAGGACATTTTCAAATTTGTGGTCTAATATCAACACAAAAATTGTTTTGTTATAATTATATGCTATATATCACACATCTTTGCATTAAAGCACAAACAAAACCTAGCGAAAAAGCTTTAAATTTTGAATGTATTTTTCTTACTTTTTTTTATTTAAGCAATATACTGTTGTCAGTGGTAAACTTTTTTTTTTTCATTATATAACCTTAACATGAAGGCAGATCTAATAATGTCTGAAATGGAATCTGATTCACCACAATGACAGACTTGGGGGTGAGAAATGAGATAAAAAAGCACATGCAAAGCTATATTCACCTGCGAAAACTACAAAAACAAAATATTTTTAAAGCATCATTTATTTCATACACAAACTATTATTAGCAATATATTCATCGATAACTTGCTCACAACGCAGCTTAGAAAGATAAAAGACTGAGGAAAAACAATAGCACCACTCATTGGTATAGGTAAGGCTTGATCATCATTTAATTTACAAATAGTTGGTTCAATTTTCCCCAACTAGTCAGCTTTATTCAATGTAAATCTACATAGAGGTAATACGTATTGTGTCACTAACAGAAGAAACCCTTAACCATCATGAGATCAATATACATGTACTAGAAGTGCTGCAGCAATAACACAACCAATAATTGGTCGGTTAAAGTGGCAGGGTCGTCACCTGCGCATGCGCAAGGAATTGAGTTCTAAGCTACAATAACACAAGCTAAAAACACAAAGGCTTATGGGTAGATGCTTATTTGTAAACAGTGGTGCACTATGGTCATTTGTACAGGTGATAACTTCCCTTGGTTTAATTTACAACCGTACCATTCATTTCAAAACCTTTAGGAAAAGATATTGTGAACTTTAGATACAGTAATCAACTGAAGGGTTATTTTGTGATCATCGTTGTATATGCAAATGTGTAATTAAAATGAGATACATTACATACAAGTAAATCAGAGATTAAAAATCAATTTAAATTAGCCTACCAGTAATAACAAGATCATGTTCTGCGGGTTTGGCCCCACCCATCTCCACAATAGTGTTGACTTGCAGCTTTCGTTTCTGCAGTCAGAGTGTGATCGTCACATTGATTGACTAATCATGCAACTAATCTGAATATGCTAATTTTCCAAATAAAAGATATTAATTTCATAGCAAGTTCATACTATTGTAGGTATAACCCGTGGAACATAATCTGATTTTCAGGCTAAATTTCAATGTACTTTTTTCATACTACAGTCGCCATGAAGAACCATTATTGTCTCATGTTATGTTCAATGTGTCCCGTAGCGACATGTAAAATGTATCATTTACACAATATTCACACACTGTGCAACAACCATGGCTATTTATCATTGCTTGTTGACACCATTTTTTCCCCATGCTCAGCAATCTGAGAAATGGCTGAGAACACGTAAAAAAAAAAATCCAAGACATTAACGACCCCAGTTAACAATAAATTCAAAGTCTATTAGGATGTAGTGCTGTCATGCAGGATTTAACAACTTCCACCAATAGTTTGAAAGAGGCAACAAATATGTGTGTGAATCCTACAATGTCAGAAATATGGCTCTGGAACAGCAATTCTGAAAGCAAAATGTTCAGCAGTGAGTTTTTTTGAATCAGATCCCTAACATGCACCAACGTCAATCCATACATAAGCGCCCAACAGTGGAAATGTATGATTTTGGAGCACATGTATAGCACTAAAATGACCACAATTCTGCCATCTTGGTGTGTAAGCCAGATTGTATGTCTGTGCCAAGAGTAAATGAAATCAGTGAAAGTTACAAGTGCAGTTCACGAGTCCCCATTTTGTGACCTGACAGAGACTAATATAAATTATATCTTTGTGAGTTGGCAAGTGACCAAAAAATACCATATTAGCTCTATTAGTAACACATGCACCTCGATGGTCATAATAGGTCCAGTATGAGATGCAATTCTAATAGAGAAAGTATAGCTAACAAAGTAAGAGACAAATTTCAGTGTTGAAATTCATACACTGACACTGTTCTTGTCGAAGAAAACATAAATTAGTGAAATTACATACATGGTAATTTTATTGAATTCAATTGGGTATCAGCTGACAATGGATTAGTTTCTTTGGTGTGGGTTAGTAGTCATGTTTTATAAGCTACACTCTAAGTAGAGGGAGAGCGAGGAGGACCAAGAAAGTATGCATTGTTGACTTCCATCACAGGCCATATTATATGGCTCTGTATGGGCACTGTTTGACTCAGAGTGCAAAAATCTGGGCAAAAAGCATGCAACAAGGCTCAGAAGTATTAGGACAATAAGTGTGACTTTAAGAGATTCGTTGGGAGAAAGAAGGCCCATGTCATGAGTCAAGTTGTATACAAATGACTAATTATGCAATCCACATAACTCAATTACTGGTACATCAATTTTAACATTAAAAGTGAACCTGCTGCAGTATGCATAGATTCAGAATGGGTGTGAATCTGAAAAGCCATCTGTTAATTTAATAAATTAATTGATGAATTATTCAGTTTTCTACTTTGCTGTGCCAATGAAAAGAGTGCAATACCATTATAGAACTGCCAAGCTAGATTGCAAGCTTTGATGTATTACTGGGTTATGAAATACAACCTGATCAACCATGAACTAGTCAGCCATTTTGAATCCGATCTAAAAAATAAAATAACGTGCCTCAGGGACCCGTAATGTCTAATGTATGTACCAAGTTTGAACAAAATCCATCCATAAATGCCAGAAATGCTTGATATTTGATGATTTTTTAGCACAAAAATGGCCACCATTCAGCCATTTTTAATAGGATCGTCAAACCAATATATCTGTATATTTATGACATGATGTATAATGAATATTTTAAATTTGAACATAATCAGTCACAGCAAGTCAAAGATATGGCACTAGAACCACATTTATTAAAACAAAATGGTCGCCAGTTGGCCATTTTGAATCTTATCTGAAAACAAAATGATGTGCATCAAGGTCCTATAATGTCTAACGTATATACCAAGTTTGAACAAAATCCACCTGTAAACAGCCGAGAAATGCTTGATTTTGATGATTTTTAGAACAAAAATAGCCGCCATTCGTTCATCTTGAATCAGATCGTGAAACAAATTGATGTGCATAAGTATAATATCATGTATGATGTATGTGTGAAGTTTGATTGTGATTGGTCTAGACATTTCTAAGATGCAGGTCCGGACGCACACACGCACAGAAGTCAAAACACAAGTCCCTGTTTTCGGACTGCGTCCGAACTGGGACTAATAATCACCAAAAAAATCATGGCATGGAAACAAATTTGCTATTAGTAACACTACACTTCTTTAAGATCAAATATGGCCATGGTGCTGATAATCCAGGTTATGGGTAAGGGATTGGAATTGTCACTGTGGTAAAATGAGATTATCCATGGCCATGCCACCAAAGCCATACAGTGATACTGAGCAATTGTCTGTATGAAACAAAAATAATGTCATCAACGTGTCAATGGTGATATCAGAAAAAACAAATTGTTAGTAGAATCAGTTCCAACAGTTTGGTTGTGCATTTTGTGCTTATTGTAAACAAACTGCAAGAATTGTGCTACGCAGTATTAAATATACATGAAACAAAAAAACCAAGAGAAATACTCAGTTTTTATAATGGAATATGTCTGAAGAGTGATCAATTACACAGCCAATGCTCTCAGCAATTTTTTTTAAAAAATCAGTCATGGTTGCCTATGGTTATATTATAAAAAAAAAAAAAAACACTGATGGCAACAGGAAATTTTGGGTTATACATAAATAATTTAATTAATAAGTTTCAGGCAGAGTGGGACTGTTAATCATAAAAATATTAGCAAAGCTCTTAAAAGAATTTATCACCTAGACAAAGTATGCGTATTGATCGAAAATGTGCATGAATGTGATTCTTGCAAACTACAGGTAGACAAACTATTATAGTAATCTTATCATCGCATCGCATCAAATAACTGCTCTTGCTTGACATTAAATTTTTTTTTAAATTGTACAATATAGGTTCATCACATTTCAGATTGTGTAATCCAGAAAACATATCCTGGAAATGATATTACAGAGAACAAAATATGATGTTTCTTGAAAACATACAAAAATTGTAATCACTCGAGTATTCAAACGTGATATCAAAAAATCAACATCAAGTTCAAATTCCAAAAGTATATCATCAGACAAAGTTGAATACATTTTCAACAAAAAAATACATGCCCCAGCAACAGGTAAAGGATAACACAGTCAGCTCTGAACCAGGAATTGAAATAACAGCCATATCCTTTGCACAGGCTCACATCAGTCTTGTTCCTTTGAAAGTGGTACAACTTGTGTCTTCTCTCATCCTCATTCACAATGTTCACAATTATTACACTACAACAGATAGGAGACCACTATGCTTGTGTTTTCAGATTCCATGTTCCAAACATGGAACACAACAAACAAACATAAACAAATCTTTCTGTTTTCAAGCCAATAATGCTGAACATTGGAAGTCTCATACCCTGGTGTAACTTTGTTGATGTGGGAAAATGTTCTTCTAGTGGTGACAATGTTAATAACTCTGCTCTGTTGACAGTCAACAGCAGAGGTAAAAATTGCATTATGTACAAATTCTAGTTTCAGTGTGTGTTGCATTACAAAAGATGCTGCCAATGTGGTGCCAACAACACTTTATACAGAATCATCTTTACTAGCATATTCACGAAACACAAAACAATATATGTGAGGGATATACTATGATAGTTTGTCACAACATGCATGATTAATCAGAGCTCATGACCCTTATAGCTAATCACACAAGCATTGCAATTTGATATTCAGTGTCAATGTAGGTAGTCTTCAACGCTGGCGAAGGCACATGATCCTAACCCAACTTTAGACATTAATTTCACACATGATATAGCTTGTCCCAGTGCTAATTCCAATGGTGGCTGTCTTGGAAGATTATGAGATTCTGTGAAGATGAAATAACAGGGGATATAAACGGATTAGTAAACAAACAAACACAAAATGTGTTTATGGTCAAAACACAAGCCTAATTTTAATGATCAAATAGACAACAAATGTTTGAATTTAAAGATGCACTCCTAATAGAGAAAAAAGTAACTTGCATTTTTGCAATAACAAATGCACAAAATTATAAAGGAACGAGGCTTGTAATAAATAAAACCACCGAAGAGAAGCACTACTTTAAAACTATACATGATGCATGACAAAACTTAGTTAGTATTATAACCCTGCATAAATGAATGTTAAACGATAACTGCTGTAACTGAGTAA